TTCCCGCGATATTTAACAGACAACACGTGCCCCGTCACGTTAAAGTACCCCACAGCAATCTCGCGCGTCCGTTCACACGTGGCGGACACAGGAGGAGCATTCCCGCCCCCCACGCCGTTCTCGTTACTCCAAAGTCCAAACATCTCACACTCTAATCTCCACACAAAAGAAAAAAGTAAAAAAATAAAAAAAAAAGTTCCTTTCTGTTCGATCTCTGAAAATTCGAATCTCCTTTTGCTCTTCGGAATCGAAACTTTCTTCTCCGATCGGTCTTCTGAGCAAAAAGGAACAAAAGATGCTACCGTCTCCGTTACTCTGCGAATCAAGTCCTTCTAAGCTTGCTTGTTTTAATTCTGCCTTTTCCGGCCGTTCTAGTATTGGACCATCTTCTTCTCTTGAAATGGGGTACGTTTCGTTTCTGTGAAATTTAGTCATCGCTGTTTGATCTTCTTTTCTCTTCTTTCTTCAATTTTATGAGTTGTTAAGCAACTTTTTGATTCCATTTCCTTAAAATCGCGATGAATTTTTAGTAACTTTGAGGGTAAATGGTTCGCATGGAGCTAGCTAGGATGTTTTAATTTTTGTGCTTTTTTAAGTTTTGTTTGTTGACTTGTGATAGTGTCTTCTTAAGTAAGGCATCGGTTAACTGCAGAAGAGCATCGGTTAACTGCAGGGAGAGACTGTTAAGTAAGGCATGTTTTATCCTTCAATCATGTTTAAGCATCAGGTTACTATCCATTTTTGAGTTATTATTGAAACGTGACTTGGTTTTTTGGTTTATTCTAGATAAGGGGCCGCGTTAGGCATAGGGCAACTAATGTCTATGACAATCGAGAACGGGTGCTAGAGGTATTCTATTGCAAATTATTCTTATCATTTCTGCTTGTTATGTATCCAATTGTGTGATAAGTCTTGGTAATCTGGATATAGTTATTTTCTTTTTCTCTATTTGGAAGAAATTTTATTCCTGTCTTGATTTATATTTTTGTTAATCTTAAATATGTTTCTTGTATGTTGCTGCTTTAAATTAGATTTAGTGTTTGTGATCTTAGGGTATAAGATTAATACTCATAATTGTTTGGAATTCCAGGAAGAACCCCCTCAGATGGCAGAAGCTGCCCCATCTTTTAAAACTTTCCCAGGTCAGGCATCTCCATTGGGTGTATCAGAAGTTGATAATGGAATCAATTTTGCCATTTTTTCACAGCATGCAACTGCGGTTACTCTTTGCTTACAACTTCCTCAAAGGTGAGAATGCCTTCCTTCTTGCGCCATTGGTTAAGTTGTGGTCCATGTGATAATTTTGTCTTTGGCAGGCCTTTTCTTTTTTTTTTTTTTCCTTTTTCTTTTCTTTAATGGGTATAAGTGACCTTGTAATTTGTTATGTGCTCCTCCTCAATTGATTTCAAGCTCATGTGCTTCCTTTTACTTCATTGAGCTCATGCATTTGCTGGCATAATGTATCTTAGGGGAGAGCTTGATGGGCTGGATGGTGAAATGGTTGAACTGTCGCTAGATCCCCATTTCAATAAAACTGGAGATGTTTGGCACATTTCTATTGAGGTATTATAACCATCAGTGTACTCAAAAAATTTTCTTTGGTATCCATTGTTTAGATTTTAGAAGCAAGTTTTTTCATCACTATGCTTTCTAGGTGTACTTAAATAGCCACTGAAGCACTATTTAGATTCTACCCATACAGTATGAGAGGATATTGTTTTAGTGTTGATTTCTGCTTGTTCTATTGAACTTCTATAAATTTAGGATTTGCCTCGGAGTAATGTCCTCTACGGTTATCGCATGGATGGTCCCAATAATTGGGTTCAAGGACATCGATTTGATAACAGTGTTGTGCTTATAGACCCTTATGCAAAGCTAGTTGAAGGCCGTCGATATTTCGGAGATAAAAAGCATAAACTATCAAAATTTCTTGGAACTTATGATTTTGATAGATTGCCTTTTGATTGGGGAGACAACTATAAATTCCCAAATACACCTGAGGTATGTGCTAATAGCTCCTCCTCCTCCTCTTTTTTTTTTCTTTTTTTTTTTTGCCAAGTGTCCTGTTAGATTCAACAGTCATTCATTTATTGTTTTCCCTCTCAGCTGTAACAACTTATTTGCTGTGCTAACTTATAACTAAATGTATCTTGTATTTTCTGTATATGATTCCCATGCACTTTTTTCTGGTCTCAAGTAATTTTGAAGTCAATCTAATTGGGGTTGAGTACCCCAGGAACCAAATGTATCTGTCGCTTCTTTTTGTTTTCTTTTTTCTTTTTTTTATGTTAATGGATTTTTTGATTGTCAAAGGTTTTTTTTATCAAGGTTTCTTGTCTTTATTGAATTCTTTTTTGCAGCTAACATTGTCTATATTTTCCACTGTCTCTGTAGAAAGATCTTGTCATATATGAAATGAATGTTCGTGCATTTACAGCTGATGAATCTAGTGGCTTGGATCCAGAGATACGTGGCACCTACCTTGGTGTGATTGAGAAGGTAATGTTTCATTGCATCCTCTGATGACATGCTTTGAAGGTTTCATCCCTTTACTGATTCCTCTTTTGTCTTTGGTCAAGGGTTTAACCATATCTGTAGTTTGCATAGATATTTTCTGGTTGGCACACAATAACTCAATGGTCTTTTGCCATCCTTACAGCTGCTTCCTGCAATGCAAATCTCCTTTAAGTTTTTCTTTTCTTTTCTTTTTCAATCAGTACATCATTTGTTAATTTCTAAAAGTGAATGTTAACTTTATAGTTGGTCTCTTCCATTTATCACATATATCTGACAGCCTTTTTAAATTCAACCTTAAGATCCCTCACCTCCTAGAACTTGGAATCAACGCAGTGGAGTTGTTGCCCGTCTTTGAATTTGATGAGTTTGAGTTTCAGAGGCACCCCAACCCTAGAGATCACATGGTAAACTATATGTCTTCATTCTATATGCTTTATGCTTTTAAAAGTTTCATTATTTTATCAGAAAATGCGTTTGAATGTGAATTTGTCAACCCATGTTTCCCTTTTCCCATTCTTTTTGTAATGTTGTTGGTTCCGTTTTGCAATACAAGTGATGTGATTATTCAGAATTATGTTACAAAGCACTTTTTAATTTTAGTGCATTTAATCGTATGTTTCTGCTAAACTCAAAAACTCCATGGATACTCATGATGATTTTCAAGTAGTCAATATACTGTGGTAGCTAACTTAATTGACACCTTAATTTTGTTTTCTTTCCATTCCCACAATGTATGTGCCCTTATAATATGCCTGGGCAAATAGAAAAGTCCCTCAGCTCAGATTCAGTTTAGATCTTGTCCCTTTCTATTTGTCTTCCAGTCCCAATCTTATCCTCCTCACCACCCCAAAAAAAAGGAGAAAAAAAAGAAAAAACCCACTTTAGCGCTAGATGACCTTGGTTTTGGATGTAAGCAAACTGCATCCTGGTCAAACAGAACTTGAATCATATGATGCCTTTAAACTTAAAGTTGGAAATGTACCATGCTTGTGAATTAATCTTTCAACAATAATATTTTTTTCCCCATCCACATGGCTTTTGTGCTTTTAATAGTCTTAAAGATGAAAAATGAAATGCTTGTTTATTATCTTTCTAAGATCAATACATGGGGGTATTCGACAATCAATTTCTTTGCTCCTATGAGTCGTTATGCTAGTGCTGGTGGAGGTCCTGTCAATGCTTCCTGGGAGTTCAAAGCAATGGTTAAAGCCTTACATGGGGCAGGCATAGAGGTAATACATGTCTTTTCTAGCTTCATTGCTAGAAGACTTTTTTTTCCTTGTTTCCTTTTGTTATTTTCCTCATTGAATGTGTGGAATATGTATTTCTAATGCATTCAAGGCTTTTATCTGTAGGTCATTCTAGATGTTGTCTATAATCACACCAATGAAGCTGATGACAAGCATCCTTATACCACCTCATTTCGTGGCATAGATAATAAGGTGATTTTCACTTCAAATTTTAGATGCCTCAAGTTTTCCAAGATAAGCTTCCTTGTTTTTAGGTGGAATTGACGTTGTGTTCTACCTATTTTCCGGGTTTTCTTATTATTATCCATATTAGCCATCTGAGTTGTCAAATCATAAGGTTGATATCAATTGAAGATTTTTTTTATTTTTTGGATTACATGCTATATTGACCAAGAAGACAGACATATGGTTTGAAAGTTCTCTTGTGTAACTTTGGTTAAAATAAGTTCAGGAAAAGCATATAGGAGCAGGGTTCTAAGTTAAAAGAAATTAGAGAGTACGACTTTCATTTCCCCGCTTATTTTGCTCTATCAAACAGAAAAACATATAGTCAATCAAAAGAAATATTTCTAGCTGGATGTAAGATATCTTCTAGGTTCAAGAGAGGCCTTGCAATGTGCAAAATATGGTCATTTTGTAGCCTGAAATGCTATGTTAATAATGGGCCTTTGGCCATTGGAAAACAATAATACAAGTTCAGTTTAATCTGGACAACTCAGGGAAACGGACATGTAGCAATTACCAAGTCTTTTACAAAATGCAAGAAAGAGGTATTTTAAGGATATCAGTTAGAGCTTGGTTTGCCCTTTTCTTTTATATCCGTGGTCTTTAGGCTTCACCAAATTCTATGGATTCCCTTTACTAGTTAGATGTTCTATTTTGTTGGTGGCTTTTAGTAGGAGTCTAGCCATTGTAGACCTAATGAAGGACAGTGGCTCAAACTTTTCATCTAATAACAATTTCCAATCTATTGATAGATTGTCTCATCATGTCTTAACTGTGTGTTCAAAAAAATTATTTGCAGGTCTATTATATGGTGGACAACAGAGGACAATTGCTAAACTTCTCTGGATGTGGTAATTTGAGCATTCTATGTGACTCATTTTCTTGTCTTCTCTGGTTGTGGCTGAATCTATTAGTAAAAGAAGTTTCAAAAGTGACTTTAGCAAGTGTTGGTAATTTACACTTTTACATTGATAGTTGCATATTGAAAGTCCTCTCAAATGCAATGTTTTCTGGTCTTCAGGGAACACATTAAACTGCAATCATCCTGTTGTCATGGCATACATCCTAGACAGCTTAAGACATTGGTATGGAAAAATTCAAACAATATTATGCTTTGTTTGATATCTTTTATTAATTTATTTCTTTTTACTTTTTGGTTAATGGCATAAAATTGGATACCCACTTTGTATTATCTAATTCTAGGGTTGTTGAATATCACGTGGATGGATTCCGCTTTGACCTTGCTAGTGTGCTATGTCGAGGAACAGATGGTTCCCCAATTAGTGCTCCCCCACTTATTAGAGTATGTAATCAAATTCTAGATTCTAAAATAAATTAGAACATGTTCATTCAAAACCAATGCGCCGCAGGCTATGTAGTTTCACTTGAATTCTGTATTTGATCCATTTATAGAAATATGAACAGCTGTGGTTTGAGATTATAAAAAAATAAAAATGCATTTTGTTGCAGTGGCTTACCTTACATTTTAATTTGATGATCCAGGCAATTGCCAAAGACACTATCCTATCAAGATGTAAGATTATTGCAGAACCTTGGGACTGTGGAGGCCTCTATCTTGTTGGTAGCTTCCCAAATTGGGACAGGTACATTTTGTCAATTTTGTGTGTATAGTAATCTTATTGTTCGCTCCTATGGTTATGTCCAAACTTAAAGTTTGGCGACCCTCAAGTCTTGGGTTAAACTCAAGCCAGCAAGTTCCTTGTGGATGAGAAAGCTGGCTGCTAGTGTGTGTACCATCTTATTCAATCCTCCAAAATTCCCTTATGTTAAAAAAAAAAAAAAAAAAAGTGTAACAAGAAAAAGTTGTCAGTGATGACTGGTTAATCTCATAATACATTCATGGAATTTGCATTTTGGCATCTACTATTAGTTTTCCACTTATGGTCTACTTAACACTGATTGATAATTTCTGATATGGTTTTTGGCAAGATAAAAATTTTTATTTTTGCCAGAGGCAAGACGAAGATGAGAAAGATATTTCCTTTGCATAAGTCTCTTTTTCCATTTTTTAAGGAATGGTACACATTTGGTTTTTCCTTCTT